TTAAGGAAAGGTTTATTTTCAATAATACATCAATGTTTAATGTTGTTTTTTAATTATTAGGTGTTAAACTATCTACAAAGAAATCCTTGGACAGACTAATAAAACCATCGTGTCCATCAACTCCTCCCCCATCTCCTTCAGGTCAAAAAAGTCTACTACAACTCCCCAGTAGTTCTTCAGCTCAGGATGCTTTAGTTCACATTAAGGCATTGCTTGTGGATAAGAAAAGTCCAAAGTTTTGCACAAAATATAATGCTGTGAGTATGAAAATACAAATAAAGAAACATTACATCTTTTTTTTATGTAAATCTGAAATAACTGCTTTGTGGTGAAGGAAATTCATGAAATATTTACATTATTTTATCCTTAATTTTGTAAAGTCATTTTAATATTACATACTTTTTACATTTTACAAGATATAAGAAGTCGTACAAAAACCATCTATCTAATAATAATAACTCATGGCCTATATCCAATTATAATTCGTGACCCAGCTGATGTACGAGAGGTCAATAACTTTCGCAAACATTTTATAGTGACTGATTAGGGAAAGAGAGACTTTTATTATACAGTTTTTATTATATCTAAAATGTTAATGATACTCACAGTGTTACTTACTGCTAGATAATGTGCATTGTTCTGTTTTCTTCATAGTTTGTTTTAAAGCAGTTTGTGTGTGTGTGTGTGAAAACATTTGGGAGTTACATGTGTTTCTAACAGACCAACAGATTCATCGATGTTGACTTCAGCTGCTTGGAAACCGTAGTAAATCTGAAGACATGGGTCATGGTGCTTGACTTTTTTGGTATTGGCTCTCAAGTACCTGAAGTTGCAGATCCTGTTCCTCAACGTAGCCAATGTATATCTCGACAGAGCAGCTTGGCAGAGGAAGTAAGAAAGCAAGAGGGTATGAATTTTTTATACATAATTTACCATATGAAATGTTGGAAATAATGCTTTGTTGCACAATAAGGGAAGTCACTTGTATTGAGTGTATTTACGGAAGGTATTTTATGTGAGAAAGGTAATTTTTCTTTCTGGTATTGATTCCAAACTAAATACTTCCATATGCTGTGAAACATGAGTAAGGTATTGAAAATTTAAAACTACCATCAACAATCACAATTAAATAATAACTCTTCAGTTGTTTATAAAATTTCTACCAAGTTTTGAAATTCATTTGAAAAACATTCGCTCGAAAATTTTTCCAAAAAAAAAAAAGGAAAAGTTCCAGGTTGTATCCTATACTTGAGTAATAGGTTTTGATTGTAAATAGTACTTTAAGAGGCATATAGTTAAATCACGTCATTTCTCTTGTGTTTGAAATTTCCAGTTGAAACCCAGATGGAGGTCATCAACTCCGAAATTAAACTAAACATTCACAGCTTAACCTTGGTTCTGAACAAGGAGTATGAGCTAGCCAAAGCTAATGTGTCTCATTTCACCTCCCACATAACCCTCAGAGACAGGAACTTTGCTGTGCAAGGTAAATTAGGGAGCATGTCGTTACTTGACCTCACTCCTTACGGACAACTATACAGAGAGCGGTTTATGACTTCTGGTAATGAAGCTCTTCATTTTGATATATTCAAGTAAGTTTGGTGCCCTGGTGGTTATTGTCATGCTTCTTGTGTCTTTACTTTCAAGTATTTTTGTTTTCCAATTAATTTTAACCATAAAGACTTATTCATTAACTAAACTTAAAAACAGATGAGCACTTCAAAGGTTTTGCATTTTAGGGCTCTGCAAAATAATTTAAATGGATTTAATAATAGTAATAAATATTTGATTTGTGCTGGAATTTTGATTTTATTCTTTATGTTATTACTAATGAGTGACTGTGTAGAGGCTATTTTGATGTACAGGTAGTCTGTTCAGTCATAAGGATTGGTTTATGTGATATGTGAAAATCTCAGCAACAGAATTGTTCAGAATTAATTAAAAAGTTATACACGAATGTTTCATGCAATTCTTTACTGATTCTATTATTAAAAAATTCTCTGTTATTAACAATTACCTTGCTTCTCAGAGTATTTTATGTTATCTTAAAATCCAGCCTTAGCTACTGAATTTGCCTTTTCATTAATTAATTATGAATTCTCAAATCTTTAAGATCTTTGAGACCATTGTTTACTGCATATCCTTGCAGGTTTGGTAAATTGCATATTTATTAAAAGTTTATTGTTGAAACAAAAATGTGTTTTCCTGTGGCATAAAGCTAGACCTGATTCAAACCTAACTTACTGTTTAAGGACAACAAGGGACCTGTTGGTCCATCTCGGCTGTCCCATCCTTTAAACCAAACTAAAACGGTTATATAAGTAAGTTTTTTAAAACATCTTAAAGCCAGCCATTATCATTCGTATAGTTGTAAAGCTCTTAAACTCATATTTATTGCTTCCACAACATCCAAAGGCAATCCATTCCAAATGCCAACCATCTTTTTATAAAAATAAAACTATCTTAGCTGAAGATGACTTCTACCCTGCCAAAATTTATATTTGTGTCTCCTAGTCCTACTATTCTTGCCATTAAGTATGAAAAAAGATGATGCATCAACACTATCAATTCCCTTTACAATCTTAAACACCTAAGTCAGATCTCATCTAATTCTTCTTTTTTAAAGAGAAAACAGTATTGAAGATCTTAACTTCTCCTTGTATAACAACCCCTTCATCCCAGGTGCCATTCTAGTAACCCTCCTCTGAACCATTTCCAAACCATTTCGATGTCCTTCCTAAGGTAAGAAGCCAAAGACTGAACACAATAATCCAAATGTGACCTAACCAGTGACCAATACAATGAAATTATAACCTCTTTAGACTTGTGTTCAATATTTCTGTAGATACAACCTAAAATTCTATTTGCCTTACCACTAGGAACAGCACACTGCTTGGATGGCATAAGAGACTGATCGACCATTACACCAAGATCCCTTTCTTTCAGATACTGTTAAGGTTATTCCCATCCAAATTATATGTATTTAACGTATTTGAATAATTGATTAAATGGTGTTCAGTTTTTAATTGTTAAATAGATGGGTTAAAGCAATAACAACCTTTGTGGTTAATTTTTAAATAGCATCTCTGTTTGCTTCCACAATGTTCTTCATGGATTAGTTTGATGTTATGGACGACAAATAGTATTGTACTAATAAAGGTTACTGATTTGCACTCCTGTTGTTGCTGAGGTATTTTATTAAAATTTAGCTAATCTAGTACTAATAAATTTAATAACTTAAATGAATGAATTGCACTTTGGACATTCATGGAACAATTTTTTTTTATTCCCTATAACAAATGTTGTTTTGTATGTTCTAAAGAAAATATCTTGTTGGATGGCTTTCTGAAAAATCGTTATCATCTTATAAAAAGTTAGCACTCATCTAATTCGTATGTTTTGTTTTAATTTAATTTCTGTCGGCATTTATTATATTTTTTTCATTCTACTTTTGTAGATATGGGACTCCAGATCCACAGCTAGATAGACAGTATGACATTAGAGTCAAGTGTCAAATGGCATCTGTTCGATATGTCCACACACATCGTTTTTATATGGAAACAGTAGCCTTCTTTCAGCAGTTTAATCAGCTTCAGGACTTGATGATGAGAATACGGGCTGCAGCCACCGGAGCAATGGTACTTGTGGCATACTTACTTGTAATTGAACACTTTCCATACAGGGTTGGTCGATGTGACCGACCTTGTAACCACAAAACAACCATCAAAATTTCCATACTATAACTTTTAATATGTTTTGTGTATCTTCACAAAATATGGCAAGATTTCAGTAAATATTATAAGTCTTTTGTACACAAAAAATCAGAATTTTTAATTGACTATTTTTACTAAAGATTTGTTCGTAAATATATGGAGTCACAGTGTTGATTACTCTGAGTGCAAAGTGATTTTCATGTTAAGTTTAAAAATACTTCTGAAAATTTTCGAATTTCATTTGGATAAATTTTAAAACTTCCTTAATAAATATCCAGCATTTTTTATTCAGTAAAACTATACGGGCTCAGTCGAGTTCACCAAATCTAAATTACCTTTTTTTCTTTCTAGAATGACTGCAGATTATAACAGGAAACCACACTTTTTTATCCTAAATAGCTTAAAGTTTGTAACAGTATACATCTGTTTATACTTAATCTTTTGTTTTATTGCCCTTTGAGCAGTGTATAACTAATACTCTTTCCACACAAGTTGTAAATCACTAATCTAATGCGTAGCTCACATTACCAAAATGAATGATGTAGTGCAAGAGCTGCTCGTGAGCATACTTTGTGAAGAAATTTTATATATGTATTTGTTTTGTTTTTTTCAATATCTCACCCAGTCTAACAAACTGAGTTTCTAATTTTTACATTTTAGTTACTTTTAGAATAATGCATAAAGGGTATAAATGGAAAACATGTTTTTTTGCTGTTGGTTGCTGATGAAAGTTAAGCCTACTTTTTCTATGCTAATGGTTCTAGTAATGGTTCAAGAGAAAACTATTTGGGGGATCTTAACCTCTCCTTACTTGACAAACTTTCCATCCAATATATCATCCTCGTAGCTCTTCTCTGAACCCTTTCCAACAAATCAGTGTCCTTTCTAAGATAAAGCACTTGAGTGAACACACATACACACAATACTCCAAATATGGTCTAACCAATGACCTATACAATGAAAGTATAACATTTTTAGACATGTATTCAGTATTTCTGTAGATACGACTTAAAATCTTATTTGTGCTGTGTTAAGCCTAATGTTAAAGTTTAATATATAATTGTTTTATCACTACCTTCTCACTAAAATAATCAATTTTATCTTTAAAATAGGAAGTGACAAATAACTATACAATTATGTGCATTTCTCAAGTTTCCAACAAAATAATACTTTATTTTAACAACTCGTACTTAACAAGTTTACAGAAATTTATGTACATTACTTGAACTTGCACAATGCAAGTTGAAATATGTAGATTTTCTTTTAATTAAAGGTGAACACTGATGTTATCCGTGGATCCCGTATCCTTGTGGATATACAAGCAGCTTCTCCTGTGATTGTTGTACCTCACAGCCATTTCTCACGGGAAGTGTTGGTTGGTAACCTGGGACAGTTAACTGTGTCTAACAGCTTCCTGTTCACTGGAAGTTCTGGAACCATTAGCATCCAGCAAAAATCTCCTTCTCCTGAAGTCAAGTACGTTGTTGAATTAACTCAGTTTTTTTTTAATTTTGTTTAATTGCTGTTGTTTATTATTCCTTCATTTCTTTCCCTAGCAAATTAATTACAGTATTTTTATATTAAGTATAATTTTTATTTTTTTCCTTATGGCATTTTTCAGAGTTTTAAGTTAAGGAAAGAATGTTTATTAACTTCTCTCCTTAACCAGATTATGTGAATAGTTTTCCTTCTGCATCTAACTGTACTTTCTATTGAATTATCAAGAAGTTCCATTTCTTCTGACCCGATGACTACGAGCGTGTATGGAAGTCTTGACAATGCTAGCGAAGAGAAAATATCTATACAACATTCTGTTGCTACATCAAGTACGTAAGAATTTATTGTGTACTTTTCCAAGTAGAGTAAGCTATACGTAGCATTTTAGTGAGTCTTGTCCTTAAGATTTGAAAATATTATTGGTGTTTTAAGTTTTTATTTATGGTGACTGAATCACAAACTTGTATCAGGGTGAGCTTGGTCTCTGTTAGTTATAGATATTGAATTAAAAAACTGCAATGAAAGAGATCTTTGAATATACATAAAAAACGTTTAGATTAATAAAACGAAAGACCGAACATACAAGTTTGTCTAAACTTTATTCGTTACTGCAGTTGCATTCTAAAATTCCATTTGATTTTAATTTCCTAACTATTTTGTATAATTGCTAGTTCGATACTTCTGTGACAAACTTTATCTTGTTCCTTTGATATCAAAACCTGTTTTTATTGGTTTGCTTTAAAATAACATCAGTACCAGTTGTCATTATTGACCTTGTGATCAAATCAAATGAAAAAAAATATATTTCTTGCCAGATTCTTGGCATATCTGACTTATTTTATTCCACAAAAAGTAAGTTTTTGTTCATGCTTTTTCAAATTGTTATTTAAATTATTAAGTTTCAGTATTATTTAAACAAGTATGTTGAGTTTCTTCCATCTAGATTGGGCCATGTGTAATCAGTGAACATTATCAGTAAATGTCTAAATTCAGTAACAAATAATTAAATCAAAATGGTTCAAAAACAAATAACTTATAAGGATAATAAAATGGCACAGAATGCAAGCTGTAGTATAATACAATCCTAAATTAATTAAAACTGAAATATTTTCTCATGGCTGGTAAGAATTACATCATCTATAAACCTTGAGTATATGCGTGTGGAATTAGAAAATTGAGAGAAACTTTGAAGTTGTTTAAGATACATAGCATTAAAATATAAGTGTTAAATAAAGTAACGAAAAGCGAAGGCACCAATATTACATGCATTTGGACAGCCAATATGCTGTGATCTTGAGCCTATTATAAGCAATTACATCATCGGTGAATTAAACATTATGAAAGCAACCTTTCGGTGTTTAGAGAGTTCTTTAATGGTATGTTTAACCATTCTTTCCATTTTAGTATAGAAATTTCCATAACTTTTGTATGAGAATATTTTGTGATAAGCATAATCAGACCAGTCTATTTTGTTTGTAAATTTTGAAGTAGTGTAGCCTGTAATATAGGTTTTGAAGGTATTGATATTTCTTACAGTTTCTGAAAACCATTTGTGCTTGCTTGATGTGATGAATGTGGAACTGTCCGACATGTTTCTCTATTCTGCTGTCCACACTAGTAGAGATGCTCCATATCCAGGTTATGAACACAAAGCATCTCCAGGAGAGGTTGTAGATAATGACCAGTTTTGTATAGCAGACCTTCATTTTCCTTCCTATTTGATTTGTCATCAGGTAATTCAGATATTCATAATGGTTTTTGGTATTTTAGAAAGTGATTCATTCAGTAGGCATTACTATTTGTTTTCTGTCTTATCTGTTGACCAACAGAATAAACACTATTTTCCTAAAAGCAGGATTTTTATTTTCCATATTTAGAATTTTTGTTACTTTATTGTTTTTAATCTTTACTCAAACTTTTTTTTCATTTGAGGACTTGAACATTTTTGTTTAGCATATCCGTAGTTTTTATGAACTTTATATTTCACCTTTCTATCATAAGTCTACTACCTAACAGGATATTTGGGCATAGTTTAATAAAGTTAAATCTAATGAACTAAGAAGGGGACTTTTGATAGTTTTGTGATCAAACAATACTGAGTGAGTGAGATTTAATTGGTCTTTGTAATACATTTCAGCAGGTTAAATAAAGATTCAAACACATCATTACTCTGCTAAATAGGAAGTATTCAGAGGAAAAGGGAAAAAGTTTGTTGACAGAAAAAATTAGGGAAAAAATGTTTGTTAATTGTATCATAAAAGTGGTAGTTGCAAGCCTAAACAATGTCGTCATATAGTCGAGGCTAGAACAGGACCTACTACAAATTATTAATTATTCAGTTTATGTTCTAAAATTAATTTTTTGTGCCTAAAAAATATAATATTGCACAAAAGTTGCAATGAAATTCAAAATTTTGAAATTCATATTGAGCATAAATATAACATAAAAAAAATTATTTTTTGACCTTTCTTATAAACTTGTGCTGATATTTTCATCTCAGACTTACAACTAGTCCTGTATTTTGCTAAGCATCAATAACTTGTGTTAAAATTGGGATTACTGTACATTTTACCAGATAGTAATAAAAACCCTATATCCCAAGCACTTTCAAAAGGTGGACCTTTCTTCTTCAGCGGCAAACATTCCAGATAGTTACCAGTTAGAAGTTATGCTTAGGTTTGAGTGATATAATTTATTAATGAATACTAGAAACTACTCTAGGAAGTCAGCTGTTGGAAAGCTGAGGTACCTCTAGGAAGTCAGCTAGAAGTACCAGGTAATAACTTTTGCTGTCGATGACACTTAACCCTACTTTTTTTATACTAATAGTAGTAATGAACTAAATAATTTTTATTTAATTAAATAATGCACCAAAGAACATAGAATAATAACATGCAAAAAGTAGACAATATCCCATAACTATTACAATTTTGCTGGCTTTCTAACTATGCGACAAGAGCCATTACAAATTCATCCAAGCTAGTCATTACCTTTCTCATGGGAACAAAGCTTGTAGTAAAAAGAAATTGACAATTCTTTGTTCAGAAAACAAAGTAATATAATATGTCACTTGATATTTGAAAACCTTGGCTTTCTATTGGTTATAAATAACATAGTATAAGACGTAAGAGAGAATTATTAACAAATCCTGAAAGAGAGGATGTAACAGTGGGTGTGGCAAGAGAGGTCTGATTTTCTATTTAATAGCTCTGTAACCAAACAAAATTGAAGGTTTGTCTGAGTAATTACTGTTTGATAATGAGTAATTTACTTTAAATTTCGTTGTTATTGTAGGGTGGTGAATAAATTACAGAAGAGGGGCTACTTAAAGAAAAATGTCACATTTTTCACACTAGGGAAAATTCTTAATTTTTTTTAATATTGCCTTATAAAATCAAGAACTTAAAACTTACATACTATTAAAATATGGATTATTAGCTATGATTTTATGCTATACTAATTGGTATAATATAAACAAAAAGTAATTTAATTAAATGTTTAATGTAAATCCCTAAAAATCTTGTGATATGTGCAGAAAAGGATGTCAGTTGCAAAAGGGTTAAAAATTATGCAAACTGAAGTTCAGTCTAACCATCTTTTCAGAAATTCAACTTCTGTTGCATTAACAAAAGGTTTATTGTTGTTTTTTACAGGGTGGTCGACTACTTAAAGAAAAATTCATGCTCAAGCTTCAGGTGGAGAGGAATCTTGATGGTGCTATCTGTCACAGTGGTTTGTGCTTTAGTTTTTAATTTTCATATATAATTAATTATATTAAAGCTGTTTAATAATGGTTGGAGACTGCTTGAATGGGTAATGAAGAAAAATCTTTAATATAAGTTTAACATAACAGCAAATGTACAACGTTGCTACTAGGAGTTAATGACGACTAAAAATTTGCGAAACATTGTACATTT